TGAAAATTTGCAAAGAAAAAAAAAAAAAAAAAAAAAAACACAAGCCATAGATCTCGTAGTAAAATTGACCCGGCAGCAAAATATAATTACACAGCAAAATCGATTACAAGAATCTGCTACTGAAGTAAGTTTGCTAGTAGCAAACGGATTGCTCAATGTAAAAAACCTACTGCCGAAGGAGAATTTGTAAAAAAAGTGCATGTTGGATGTTTGTGATGTAATGTGTCCAGAAGTTAAACATAAATTTGAAAATATAAGTCTGTATTGACAAATTATTGCCCGAAGAATATAAGATATGAATGCTAATTTAAATAAGCAGTTACTGAATAATTTAGAATCGGCCCATTTTTATGCAATAGCTCTTGACGAAAGTTGCGATGTAAAGGATACTGCTCAGTTATTACTTTTTATCAGAGCTATCACTGAAAATTTTCAAACTTCGGAAGACCTTTTGTCAATTGTTTCTATGAAAGACACGACAAAGGGAGAAGATCTTTACCGAGAGGTTGAAAAATGTATTTTGAAATACAATTTTGACTGGAAATAATTGGTGAATATAACAACAGATGGATCACCAGATATCATTTGAGAGAATGTTTTTCTCATAAAACGAATTGAAGACAAAATTTCTGAAATTGATTCAAATCATAAAATTATACTCATACATTGCATTATTCATCAACACGCATTATGCAAAATTTTTTTAAAAATCGATCATAGTATAAACGTAGTTGTGAAATTAGTGAATTTCCTTCGATCAAAAAGATTAAAACACAGGCAATTTATTGCGCTCCTTGAAGAACTAAATGCCAGTTATTTAGATGTACTGTACACTTTCCGAAATATTGTGTTTTAATTAATTTATTAATTAATTTTAACCTTCTTTTTAAATTTTAGTTTTAGTTTCAGTTTCGGTGTAAAGGCCAGTTTTAATCATTATTTTATTAGTTTTAGTTTTAATTAACTGGCAACCTAGTATTAATAGATATTATGCTATATAACGTTATATATTAACTTACAGCCACAAATATTACGATTTTGAAAATAGTCCTATAAAAAGCTTAGCAGCATTAAATACAAAAAAAATNGATTTTACAAATACGTGTGCCGGGCTGTGAACGGCTCACGTATTTGTAAAATCTAAGTGACTCGCACAACATGGAATTCATATAAAACGGAATAATCAACAGTGTTATAGGGGGTCGACTGTATACAAATGATCTCTTCAAAGGTCTTCTGCGTTTAAAAGGAGTAATTTGCTCCTCAGACAAACAGATATAAAATCCTTCCATGTCTTCGGAATCCTGTAAGAAAGTGAAAAATTTTGATTTCTGATAGAATAATTTTAGAAATAATAAATAAACAACTTGCAACCATTTTAACTAACACATTTTATTAGATTTGCATTGTTTTCATGATTTTTCAATTTTACACTTTTAAATAATAAAAATTATCAGATTATTTTTAATTACAGTATTTCGATTGAATTGTAACTTACAGAAGAAGACAATTCACTTTCTTCCAAGTTATCAGCAGGTTGTTCGTATTTAACTTCTGTGATTTTTGTTCCCATTTCACGTTCTTCGGGAACAACATTCATATATTTATTGAAATCGTCCGCACCAATAACTTTTATACCAGACGAGAAACATTCATGTGTATTATTAACGTCCATTTTATTATCAGAAACTAGAGAATAAAAAGTACACACAATAAACACAGCAATTCGTAAAATTTTCTTCGCGGAAATTCTGTAATTATATAAGAATTTGAAAAACAAATGAAATAACAAATAGTTTACAGATGAAATCCTTATTGTCGAAATATATTTTGAAACATTATTAAGCCAACTGAAAATATAATATTACTGAAGAGTACTCGGTTGAAATAAACAACTGGATGTTTATTAATGTATACAGTACTCAGAAGCTTACTTCATCTCTGTTGATACAATTTAATGAACATTGTGAGTAAAATGTGTTTTTAAATATTCAATTTGTAGATTATGTAACTGAAGTATTGACAATAGCTGTTCACATATCAATAAGAACATCCAACGTCTGGGGTGACAGTACGTTGATTCCTCTCTACTTCCATCTTGTGTCCATACACTTTGTTTATAATATTACTGTAATTTATTATTAGTTTGTGTTTATGTATTTGAAAGTATTTGTATATTTCCTATGATTTGTAGTGTTTATCATTCAGATATTGGCTATAAAAGAGCGGCCTGAAAAAATAAAACCGCGGCTTTTTTTCTATAATTTCGACACAGAAAACAGTCATGTGACTTATTTCAGTTCATATTTTTTTCAATTTTAAACATTATGGTTTGTTTTGTAAAAATCTACACAATATCATGTTTTATATAATGAATATTAATAACACAATACCAAAATGTGAAAATAAACGTGAAATTTCTTTGTGTTATGTTACACATTGATATATCGATATTATACATTCATAAAGACAAACACCTCATTGAGCAGACTGATCTACAATAAATTGTTAGAAAATATTTTAGTTCGTATGTAAATTCCGAGCAGTCTATATTAAAAATGCAACTATCTATGATGTAATGTTTAGAATACTTTTGAAGATATTTACTAGATTTGAACGAGTATTTGAATAAAATGTGGGCACTTGTGCAGTTTAGGGGGTACGGCTGTTTGAAAGGTTTTCTTCCATAAAATTAGTCGCTTCTAGACTATTATGACTCGAAAAGTTCAGCGAATTCTGCGCAAAAAGAATAAGAGTGCGACTATGCAGACGCGAGCGAGCGAGAATATGTGGCGAGAAGCGATAAATATCAAAACCTGTCAGATATGTGCGAGAACCAGAAATTCGCTCTCGCCAGCGTTATTTCTCGCTTCTCGTTTGTGCATGGTTTTCCTTTGCGAAAACTACATCGCTCGCAACCTCTCGCTCGCTCTAAATTTGCGTCTGCATAGTCGCACCCTAAGTTATCAGAAAACACGTCAAAGATGAGTAGTCACGTGACGCACTTCCTACGCGTTCGCCGTCGGATGGGTCGCTCCGCCACGAAAACAAACTTAAGCAATGGCGTCTTCTAATGGTGCACACTCGGTAAGTATTCTTACAGATTTTTGTTTATAGTATATTTTATATGATTATTCCCAAAAAATTTTACGTGTTTTTTTTAAATATTCGAGTCAAATTAGTCTAGAATCGATTAATTTTAGGGAAGAAAGCCTTTCAAACAGCCGTACCCCTTAAACTGCACAAGTGCCAAAATGTGAATTCAAATTATCATTTTAACTTTGCATTTAACTTACTTAAGAAGATGTTATTGCTATTTGATAATTATTAACTGTATTTTTAATATGTTATAGATTATAATTAAATCAACTTACCTCAAAGTTAAAATAATCCATGTAATTTTCACAAGGAAAATAACTTCAGTCAAGTTCAAAAATCACTTAGATCACAAATCACAGACGTTTATATTAACGATTAAAACTTACATACCGTTATGAAGTTATAAAAATAAAACAATTACAACAATTCAGATATAGCAAAGTTCAAATGTCAATTAAACCACAACAACAGGTCCGTCGAAAAGGACTCCTTGCGACGTATTCTTTCAGACGTTGCACAGCGAGATGAAACAACCTTCTTAGGCGAAGCAAATCAAACTTGAGCTCTCTGGATATATCTTAGGCCAACTGAACTTCCCGCCTAATCTCAATCCTTTTATACGGATTGAGACGAATGTAATTCCACCAATCAGCGATTAGTAGCGCTATCGGACGTCCGCTGGTCGTACGATGTTTTCTAGCCAATCCGCGGTCGAGTTTCAAAACTACTGACATCGCCTGTCCGCGTCTCTATGACGACGTCCGTTGGTCGTTTCAAAACAGGAAAAGCGCGGGAAATAGTACGTCCAGACGATTTATCCCGACAACTTCCAACAAAAAAATAATCACCCCCTGAAAACAATCATTTAATTATTTGAAATATAATTTAAAATGATTAGTTTTAATTGATACTAAATGAAATAAAAAGTAACGTGAAAGAAATTAACATTATAAAAATGTTGTTATAATTTCTAATGTTTACTTTTTTTATACATCTGAATGAAATGGAATATTTAAATTTTAGAAAAGATGAAGAAATGAAATAATAAATTGTTATTCATTTGCAGAAAATACGTTTAACGTTCGAATTGTTTCCAGCAGAAAATGATGCAAAGTTAAATATCGTTAATGACACTAAGAAATATCTGATTGTAATTTTCATGTTCCTGGTAACTGATANGTAATATTAATAATAAAATATTTAAAATGATTCATTTCGATAGTTACGAAAGGCGACAGTAATGAGATGTAGAAATAATTCCTTAAAAATCTATTCCGAAGACGAATTTCGAATTCGGTATAAATTTTCAAAATATGGATTTGTTCGTATTTTAAACCGTATTGGCGACGAAATTAAATATCGAAATGGAAAAGGATTGTCATTAATTGCCGTTTTGAAGCCTTAAGATTTTATTTCTGGAAGCTTTCCGAATATAGCTGACGACCATTTCTGACGTCACAAACAAATAACCCGATTTGCCGAACGACTCCTAAAACAGGGGAGTAATAGCGAAGTAAGTAAGAGCCAATGTTTTGCCGAAGTTCGTTTAGAGAATGGTCAGAAACAGACGATCGTCGTCTTTGCAACGCATTTTAAACCGCGGTTCAGCCAGCCAACGGCTATAGGCCGTTCGTTGATAAACATCATTTAATGTAAACTCTGTCTCTGCAATCGGCTGTGGCAGCCGATTATAGAGACAGAAATGGTCTCCAGCTATATTCCGAAAGCTTCCAGAAATAAAATCTTAATTAAGGTCTCAGAGCCATAACTAGGCAGGTGCAACAGGTGCACCCGCACAGGGCCCACTTGGAAGGGGGTCCAAACTGCTGTTCACAAGAAATTATTAAATTTAAATTTTTCCACCTTTCTACAGCGCGGTTTGGCAATTACATTTCGCCTTACTTAGACCCTAGATGTCTGCTCACCAGTGTTCCCAACTGTGGCGACTTTTAGAGGGACGTAGTGAGGTAGCGGAGACCTNGGGGTCAATGTGAGGATTTGGAAAGTGGTTAGGGATCGACGGTTAAAAAAGTTTGGCGACCGCTGGTTTAGAAAGTATTTAATGAATTAAAAGTTAAGTATGAAAGTGTGCTTGGTGCTTGTTAACTGATAGCTTTTACTGCTTCTTTCTGTTATGAAATTCATGATAAATGCACGATTTTCTAATGACTGATTTAATTGGAAATATTTTCAATGTAATTACAAAATTATAAAAATTCAGAAATATTCCAAGAAATTTTTCGACGTAAAACATGAAAGAAAAAAGTGTTCCTTCAATTCGAAAACAATCACAACTACATTCCTTTATTAATGTTATTAATTTATATCAGATTTTTCTGGAATTCAACGGAGAGAATGTATTCGCTATCAACGTATAACATTGTTATAAAAATTTTGAAACATCTGGTAGAAAATTACTATTAATTTTATGTTTTTGTTTTTATTGCGAATACGTTAAAAAAAGAGTTAAACTATATTTTTATTGTATAATTATATTAACTTACTTAAGAAATTCATTCTCTCGCATTCGATAATTTTCCAACTTAAAAAAATTTACTCTACGCTGATCGGGTTGACACATTATCGATGAACTGGCCACGTGGAGAAAAGCCAAAAATAAAATTACTTCACATACGTAATGCTTAGCACGCGCTGCGATTATCTTTTCGTAAGCAAGTTTTCCATTGTTGCTCAAAAAATAAATGTTGAGAATAGATTTTCGGCGATTGTCGGAGCGAATTTTTAATCGACAACCGGCCGAAATTTTATATTGAGAAACTGTGGCTGTGTCACAGCAATTTTTACATCACTACATTCATTGCATTAACATAATGACCAGAGTTCCATCTTTTTTCAAATTCGATAGTAAAATTGGCGAATTCGTTTTTGTTTGGAATTTATACGTGATCTTTTGCCAACGCGTGTCAAATAGCTTGATAATTTTCATTAAAGATGGTGCAAACAGTCGATCTACCGATTCGAAATGCAAAAGCTCGGCAAAGTTTTTAATCTCCACCAACAAAATATCTAAAAATATTAAACAAATCATTTATCGTTTACATTTATAATCTGTAATTTTATATTTTTTTTATTGTCATTTCCTTTTATTTTTCTCCTACAAATTCTTATATAAATATTGAACGCACGCAAGAAAGTTTTACGAATTACAGTACTGTGTTTTATTTCTTCTCTAGTTTTTCTCTCTAATTTATTCACTAGTTTCTGATTANAAAACATTTTTAAATACTTTACAGTCTAAATAATATATATAAAAATTTTTCATTGTAAAAAAAATGTTTAAAGCAAATATTGTTTTTTCAAATACAGTGAAACCTCCATTAATACACTCCTGAATAACTCTACTTAACACATCTTTACAATCCCCCAGACCCTTCAAATAGGACATCTATAATATTTATTTCTAAAAGGCAAATTTCTTGATCTCGACGCTGTATGCTATTTGGAAGTTATACTGTACATAGTATTTGAAAAAATACAATAAACTTTTTCAAAATCAATAAATTAAATTAGGTAATGTGAAAACATTGTTTTAAATATATTCTTTACTATGGAAATTTTCATTATATGTATTTTATAAAAGACTGTAAAGTAGCTAAAAAATGTTTATTGTTTATATATATATATATTTTTTTTTTTTGCTTGCTATGAATTTCAAAAGTTACTTGGAAACATTTATGAAACTTTCATAACTTAATTAAACAATTCTAAATACTCAGTAGATACATTTTATTGAATTTTAAAAAAAATTAATATAAGTTTTTGCATAAAAATGAATTTATTACACTTCAAAACTTTGTTGATCATTTATGTTTGAAGTAAACAGTGAAACTAATTTTTACAAAATTGTAGATCATACAGATTCTCTTTGTTTTATATAGAAAATATCATCAAATATACAGAGAAATTTGAATATAAATTGAGGTGCTATCATTTCATGCAAGAATTAGTTAATTGCTTTATGAATATTACAAAATATGGAACTTAATTAAAATATGAATTATTGATTTTTCTCTTTGTCATACAAGATTTATGATAAAATAAAAATATGAGACAATAAATGTCTCTCACAGAGACATTTTGCTCATATAAAAAAATATGATATATTATACATACATACAATTAATATTATATAAAAATTAACAATAAAATGATATTAAATTACAAAATTGCAGCTTTATTTATAGAAGGGAACAATGAATAGTGTACAAAGAATATTTTACATTTATTTCTAGTAATAGGACTGCTTCTATTTAGTACTGAGAATTCATTTCTTCAGAAAATTTAATATTAAACCAAAACATATTTTAAGAAGTTTTCAGTTTTAAACTTATGATTGATTCAAAGTTTATTCTGATTATATTAACATTATCTGTTAATTTGACCGGAGATATTTTTTATGTATTTACTATTAATTTCTCAATAATACATTAAATACTTCTTAGTCTTTATATATTTGAAAAAATTTAGGGTTGCTTTTCTTTGTTTATTCTTTTTAGTTGTATATATGAAATGTCAGGTTGGAAAACTTATTAGAATTTTATTTCTTATAAAATCTCATAGTTAAGTATTTTGATATTTGAACATCTTTAAATTTTTAAAACTATTGAGTTATTGCTGTTAATATATATCTATCTTACTGTTAAAATTTTAAGTTTTTCTTTTTCCTATTCTTGTTTGATTACTATAACAAAATTTTATCTTGATTCTATACTTCCTGTAGGTTGTTCCATTTTCTTAGCTAGAATGTTGAAAGAAACTCTTAATATATTTTATTGCCTGAAATTGATGAACTTTCACTTGATTTCACAATATTTCTCTTCTTATATGTGTATTCTTTCTTTTTGGAATTCATATCTTACATGACTTGTATAATAAATAACATAAATATAAAACTTCACCTATAGTAAACAGAAATTCAAAACTCTTTAATTCAGAAATAAGTTTTGAAAATTTATAAGTTAGTATTTAGATTTATGGAATTATATTCTCAAAAATATTATGTGCGCTCGATTTTTCTGGTATTAATGTTGCATTCTTCCAAGTCACCATTTTGTGTCTATATACACTTCAATTTCAAATTCTGTCCCTTGTTTTTCTAATAGCATATTTTTATGTATCTGATCATCATGATTTCTATTTTCTCTTCACCCTCTTGTATGTATATTCTCTCTCTCTTTTTTTTTTTTTTTTTTATTACAATTTCATTTAAATAAGATCTAACCAGAGAATAAGTAGAATAAACAGAACATCTTGTAACTTCAGCACTAAATTTAATAAATCAAAATGTTTTGACGTAATATCATAGGCCTTCCTCAGTGAAGTACATGAATTTAAAATAAAACAAACATAAGCATATCAAATGTAATAGAAATAATTTAAAAATTAAAAAGCACTCTAAAGATAGTGTTCACATAAAAAATTAAAATTAACGAGCAATTATTAATTGTGGCATTGTCACAATGCTGGGCTGCAATTTTAATCATATTTTTAATTTATTTAATTTAAAATATATGCTGTCCTCAAATTAGTAGTGGCT